TTAACCTAAAATTCTAAAAAGGTGCCAAATCAATGTAAATTTCTTTAACAAAAAGAAAAAAACAGTGCCGAATCTCTCAAAAAAAAGTAAAATAACAATAATACCGAACTCCAAGGAAAAATCAAAACGGAAAGTCCCTTATCGAATGTCAAAATCAAAAGCTCAAACACATCAAAACAAAAAGATTAAAAAAAAAGAAAGTTGATATCTAAATAATGTCTTTTGACTGGAACAGATTTTTTTAGTTCTCTTGGAATCCTTTGGAATCCTTAAAATGAAGCAGGAGGAAGGATGAATATAAACTCATCATAGAAACCAAGATTGAAATTTTGTATTTGCGCCAGACGCGCGTTTCGTCTACAAAAGACTCATCAGTGACGCTCGGATAAAAAAAAAGTTTAAAAGGCCAAATAAAGTACGAAGTTGAAGAGCATTGATTAACATATGAATATCTTCTTTTTGTATTTTGATAAGAAAAACTCATACTTAGTCTCACATTTGCAAAACATGTAAATATGCTTCAAAAGGAGAATAATTCATTAAAAAACGTAGACACACACTCTTACAAATTTTGTGCAAAAGTTGCGTATATGAGTTTACAGAGACATTCGTCCTTAATAACATATTTGTCAAAATTGTAAAAGAGAAGAGTCATTTAGGATCACAAATTGGTCCCTTAATTTGAATACAAATGAAACATTATCAAAATTTTTCATTTTGCATCATATAAGATGATTTATTGATACACATGTCGCACATTATTTAAATTCCAATTGTGTGTTCACGTTGGTGGTAAAATTTCTATACTAGTATTTACTATTTCTGTTGCAATTTTTATCTAAAACACGTGGTATTTGATAGAGCATTTATCAAACTTGTAAGATCTATCTATATATTCAATTGATTTCTATACAATGATACTTTTAGAAAATGATAACGCCGATTTGGACTTCTTATGACCGTTTTTTAGATGCACATGGTGTTATCAGTTCAAATATAAACTACGGGCCTATTTAAAATAAAATCCCTTTATACACAACAATTGTCCTTCTCCTCCTATGGAAAGGTTCAAATAATTTGCTGGTATTATTCTTATTAAACAGTATACATGACAGGATGGAAGAAATCTTTATAGATCAAGCTGATATTCGAAATAACTTTTCATATGATAAATACTAGTACATTTTAATATTTCATGTTTTTTTTTCCATAGAATTGGTCAAAATAACTTCAAGTATGTAAACAAAAACTGCGCTACACTTTGAAAGTCGTAAATCAATTTTGAAACAGTTTCTGGTCGGCCATTGTTCAACTTAATTTGTGTGCACGCAATACAAATTTCCAAGGAAACACTTTTTACAAATACCTCATTTGTTTTAGTTGGGTAGTTGTCTTATTGGCAATCATACCATATGATTTCCTTATTTTTATATACTCGGTACAAACTGTTAATTTTTTATGGTATCAACATTGTCGCTCAATTTAAATTTCATCAGTTATATTGTTTTCGCAGTAATTTCGTCGACAGCCATTTAATATTCATCTTGTTAATTGTAATTGCAACTTCCAACAAACCCTGTGCTTTCTGTACTACTTCAATCTTTAACAAGTACTATTTTTTACAGTCTGATCAGGTTGTATTGACATCCTATGCTAAAGCCTATGATAGAAATTAAGACCGCTTTCTGTTGTTGAGTTTCCAACAGGTTTAGGTCAGTTCTCCCTAATATTTCTACTGGTTTGTAGATGAAATAAATAATCAACCCAAAAAGTAAATTATCAAAAATATCGAACTCCAAGAAAATTCAAAACGGAAAGTCCTTTATCAAATGGCAAAATCAAAAGCTAAAACACATCAAACGAATGGAAAAAAACTGTCATATTTCTGACTTGGTACATTGATTAAACCTGGTTTTATAGCTAGCTAAACCTCTCACTTACATGTATGACAGTTGCATAAAATTCCTTTATATTGACAACAATGTGTGAACAAAACAAACAGACATAGTAGGTAAAAATGTCAAAAATTGGGGTACATTGTAAAAAACAAACAACTATGTCAACAAAGAAAAACAAAATGGCATATAGACACTCAATAGATAAGGCACATAAGCAAAAACCAAAGACAAGAATACAAAAATGACAATTGCACAATAACACAATGTTGTTTTCTATTACCTAAGATTTCCTTTACACTGTGAATAGAAATCTTACCAATGATATTTGTTAGAACTGTTTCATATTGCTTTCGTGTGTTTTTACTTATATACACTACTTATTTAATATATATCGTATTGAAAATTCCCTCGGAAACCAAGCATAAACATCAACAACACTCATAAAATAGGAAATAATGAGCAATCGTATGAGTAGGTTAGTTTATTTCTTAGAATTGCGCCCCAAAATGAAAAACTTGATATTCTATCATTTTATTTGACACCAAAAATTACATGCATATCCTTATTAACCACGTTTAAAATTAGTCAGTACTTCTGTGTTGACATGAATTATCATTGATATGGTCATAATTATAAATTAACTGTTTACAAAACTTTGAATTTTTCGAAAAATAAAGGATTTTCTACCCCAGGAAAAGATTACCTTAGCTGTATTTGACAATACTTTTAGGAATTTAGGGTCATCAATGCTCTTCAACTTCGTACTTTATTTGGCCTTTTTAACTTTTTTGATTCGAGCGTCACTGATGAGTCTTTTAAAGACGTTCGCGCCCTGGCGTACAAAATTTTGACTCTGTTATCTATGATGAGTTTATTTATTAACTTATATTTCAACTCTAGCTCAACGAAACCTCTTCCTAAATTTCTAATATCTATTCAATTAGCAATCAACAACAAATTTAGTGTGACTCATAAAGTAACCCCTTTTTAACTGGTCGGACTTGCACAGATTCTTAGAAAATTCTAAAATCTGATAGAGTGCCTAGAGTACGAAGTCCCTGTCATCATATTGTTAAAACAACCACATTCACATTAAAGGTCTGCTTCATATCTTGTTATTTTTCATGATATTGACACCGATGGATGATTTCAAACTAGAATCTTTGACTAACGTGATGATTTCAACTTTCCAATTGTCAACTTCCCATTGCTCAACAGCAACATACACTCTTCAATCTCAATTGATACGTTACACACGTACATGTTCACACTTTATGGACTTTATAAAAAGGGGTATGCTCCTTACACAAACATAGTTCCAACAGAGTGATGAGAAAAATTCCTAAAATCGTCACTACAAAAGTTTTACGGCCAATATCACGAAATGGTTGACCGATACAAAAGGTATGTGTCTCAATTCACTAAGCGACATGTTTTCCCAGTCTTTGATCTTTAGATGCCAGAATAGTAATCGTATCTGTAATTTTACCGATTGTGTCCTATTCCTCGATTGTGACGTTTTGACTGAGTACGGATTCGCATGGCGAGTGATGCATACATAGCAGGAGACGTTTATCCTGTCGAAACACTCGGTCTCTCTTCTTTTGGAATTCATGAAACTCCCTCAGTTTTTGCGTGTTGCCTTGATTTTTCTTCTTAATCGATTTATGAGATTTGAACATCGGTAAACTTGTGCATCCTTTATTTATAAAGATCTACCATCCTCTGTTGTAGTGTTATTATTTCTATTTTTCTGTGTGAATAAGCTTACACTGGAATTGTCTTTTTTCATCCACCATTTAATTTACTAATAATTGCCAGTTACTTTCGGATTCATGTTGCTACATTTAATTTTTGTAAATTTACTGTTTATGAAATGTTTATTAATTCGAATTAATATGGTTTTTGTAACCCCATGATACATAACTTTAGTTGAATTGGGCACTACTTTTTGGAATTTTTGATTTGCAATGTTCTTATGTAGAGGCGAGAGATACCAAAGGGATATTCAAACTCTTAACTCGAAGACAAACTTACATCGCCATGGCAAGATACGGAAAAATCGACGAAAAGACAAGCAACTGTCTACAAAACACAACACGGAAAACCAAAGACTGAACAGATCGAACCCCCCCCAAAAAAAACGGGGTTAAACTTTTTTTTATTTAGCCTTTCAACTGTTTTATTTCTAGCATCACAAATGAATTTCTGTAGACGAATAACGTCAAGTCCATAAAACCTGACAAAATCAAACGTTCGAAACGTGTGCATCTGGCGTACTAAATTATAATCCTGATATCTGTGATGAGTTTTTGCAACCACTAGGTTTATACCACTACTGGAGTAAGTTTCATCACCAGCCCAGTAATATGCGCATTTGTGTCGACATAAAATATCATCGATACGTTTTCTATAAATTAAGTGTTTGTAAAAGTAGAGTTATTCGAAACACTAAGGTTTTACTAAGCCGATGTATAGATATACTCAGTCGTGTTTGGTACAATTTTTCGGAATTTTGGGTTTTCAATGCACTTTGACTTTGTATTTGGTTTGGTCTTTTAACTGTTTTGATTCGATAACCACTGATGAATCTTATGTAGCCGAAACGCGCATCTAGCGTACCAAATTATAAGCCTTAGTATCTTTGATGAGTTTTTGCAACCACAACGTCGATGCTACTGCTGCTGTACGTTTTGTCCCCGATGGTATTACCAGCCCAGTAGTCGCACATTTGTGTTGACATGAAATATAATTGATATTTTAATTTTTCTATGAATTTACTGGTTACAAACGTTGAATCATTAGATACACTAAAGTACTTTTAATCCCATACGTAGATATATGCATTACTCGTATTTTGCACAACTTTTCTGAAATTTTGGTTTTCAATTATTTCATTTGGTCTTCTAACTACTTTGATTTGAGCAACACGATGGGTCTTATGTAGACAAGACGCGGCATAACAATTATCAGCCTGATAACTTTGACGAGTTTTTTACTGCTTTTCTGTAAAGCAAATACACTCAATGTAAGTTTACCCTTAAACTGTATACTTTATCAACTGAAAATTTCTAGTTGGTATTGCTTGTAATATAACTCATGTAATACAAAATATTTAATATTTCTTGTAGAATTATTTACAAAAACACAGAATAGTAAAATAATAAAAAATACTGCATTACAGTATAACAAAACAATTAACAGGAACCAGTCTCTATATGAAATGTTGATGCCAACGGTATGATGTGATAAAAACAATTAAAACCAAAATCTTGTAACATAATGTTAAAATGTGTCAAAATGACTATTGGTCCCATCAGATATAAACATTGCACATTGATTTAAAAATACATGCAGTAAAACATATGGTGTGATACACCATAACATGAAAAATCATCAGTGGAATTACAAACCGCTTTTAAACATCAATCATACAAGACATTTTACCATTCATCCATTCACTCCTTTTATTGCACAGAATTGTAATAAAAATGCTGCTTAACAATATTTTACTTCAAAACAATAATATCCACTTCTTACAAAATCAATTTCTTTAACAATAAAGGAAAATATACAGCATTTTTGTAGTTTTATCATATATTTGATATTTAAACTTTTCTTTGACGAATATGCAAAAACTCAATTAGAAAACGAATTTGTATGGTAAAATGATGCGTTAAAAATGCTGTTAAATATTAAAATTAGATTGAAATCATAATAAATATTATACTTTTAAATATTTTAGTATACAAAGTTATTTTATGGGTTAAAAAGGATTTTATATAGTTAAAAAAAAGATTTTTAAAAAAGAAATAAAGCCATTTCTAAACATTGTAGATACCGAAACGCTACGATAAAATTAATAGCGTAAAAGTTTTGATTCATCTAATCTATCTGTTTTCGGTGATATGAATGAAATTATTTACATATGAAAGTTTGGCATAATAGTGTGTTTGCTTCATCTATAACTGCATAACTTGTTACTGGAGTGTCCATGGATAAATCTTCGAAACTACATTGAGAAAGCAAGAATTGTCTTTGGGTATCTACTAAGGCTATCTATAACTCATATAAATCATGCATTCTACAAGCAAACTATTTACTGAAATTATATCGAAATTATCTTCACACTTTCCACCTATACATTGCACATATACATGTACAATAACAACCTTTCATGAGGTACCATGTATATATCCATATCTTAAAAGCAAAGCAATACATCATTTGACTAAAATGGCAATTTTGCTAAATATAGTAACTTCATATAAAGGAACAAGCATTTTAAAATATACTGACAAATTTTGAAAGAAATAGATTGATAACTCAAAAACGATTACACATTGTAATATACTTATCCATTCAAGTGTTTTATACTTTACTAACTGATGCTGAGACGTTTTGTTTCAAATCAAAAAGGCCATTCTACCTTCCACATTGAGTTGAAGGAACGATTAAATACAGAATAATTACAATCTACAGATTTCATCTGTTTTGAATAAACAATTCTTCACAGTGTATGTGAACAGTAATACAAAAATTATTCTATAAAAAGATGGGACTAGATAAACAGATAAAGCGCTGTCACGTGGTCATCAAGCATATTTGTATGCCCTATATTATATGTGCGTGCAAATTCACGACAAACGGGAAACGCGTTAAAACAGGTTTTTTAGGCATATCCCTATTGGATGCAACAATACAGCTAAAGGGCTGAATGTCTTCGATTGTCACATGGTATGGGTTATTCCCAACAATTTTTAAGCTTTGACTCAACAGTTTAATAGAGTAGCTTCGACCGGAAACGTCGTCTTTGGTATTTTGTCTCACGTGTCTATCATATGCATCTCCATATATGGCACTTTGAGAGGGATTTTAAGAAATCGGACGGAAGCTGTTTATTCATGAGTATAACTTCATACTTCCGCCTCTTGTCCTTCGTCATCATCGTCGTCATCCTCATCTTCCGGACTTACATTGGCACAAAGATAAAAAGAAATAACAATACCAGCTATCTACAATAGAAAAAGAGAGTAACTTATAAACATGTTTATATCATTTAAATAGAATTCATTTGATATGCATTATTTTATTTATAAAAAAACAAAATATAATTTATACCAATGGAACTCAGTACTTTGTTTTAATGACATAAAGTAATGATCAGCAATGTTGATTTTAATTTCTTTTGAATGTAAGAATCAAGGAACAATAGGAGTACGATAAAACAATTATCAAAATTGTGTGCATCATTTCGCTTAAAATCACGCTATAACATACCACATCTCTTATCTTTACATTTATAGTCATATGGAGAAAAAAATACTTACCAATACTATTTTTTTTGTTTAAAGTATACTTGAATCTTTTAATCTGTGTCATAATAAACACAGAAAAGGAACAGAACAAAACAGAACAGAACAAAACAAAACAAAAAAGAGGCCTAAAAAAAGACCAAAAACAAACCAAACTTCGTATGTAGTGTGCTTTCTTGTTATATTGAATGATATGTAGAATATTATTTAGTTTACAAAACCACCTACCAGAAATACTGGAACTGCGCCTGCTACTATCGCAATGTAAAGACTATGTTTTTCTAAATATTGAATAGCTTTGTCATAGCAACCCTGAAATATAACATTACAGTTTTAATTAAAGAATCTCTCATAATCATATCTAAAGTCTTATAGAATCTGAACCGCATAAGAGTAAAAACATGTATCTATCAATCTACCAATGCTATGTTATTCTAAACAGAAATGAAACAACTATAATCGCCTATAATTGCTTACATCCACTTCATTTTAACTCTGGTGGATAGTGGTCTCATTGGCAATCATACCACATCTCATTATTTTTATATCATATTTTTTTTTGGAGTTTTTCGGACTTCTTGGTCACCACTAAATGTTTAATAACTTAAATGGTAATATTTTTAATATGTTTTTTTGTTATTCCAATGAAATAGTCAAATGCTTTTTTGTTGATATTGAATCAATGTGGTGATTTTGATTCTTCTTTTTTTTTTATATATGTTTATTCTATAAGTGTATTTCTACTAACTTATTTTATTTTATATAAACTGTGATTAGTTATTATCAAACTGAATTAAAAAAAAAAGATTTTCACCATTAAGCAATAACCTAAAACAAATCACCAGTAGAACACAATATCATTGGTTGTGATAAACTTACATTCGTATATAATGAAGGATTACTGTGGACACTTGGGTCTGGTCCCTTTACAGGAATACCATCATATTCACTATTTATACCCTGACAGTCGTGAACTGGCCATCCAGGACGACAACAACTTTCTGGTACGAAAGGAAACACTTGAAATAGAAAAAGCCAAAAAACAATATTAAATACTTTTTTTTGGAATATAATGATACAATTTCTTAATAGGTATAAATATATCATAATAAACATTTCAGATATAGTGAGACAACTCTTATTATAAAAACTACAGAAGGAACAAGTGAAGATGAACAGATCATCGTATACCCTTCAAAGATGAACACCAAGACTGTAAAATAATAGGCGGATGACAAGCGGATCTTCAAAACTCATAAGTCGAAAAGAAACTGACAACGCCATAGCCAAAAAAAAAAGCACAAAAAGACAAGCAAGTCAACATAACATCACATAGAAAGCTCAAGACTGAGCACCAGGAACCGGACCAAATACCGAGGGTGATCTCGGATGCTCCGGAAGGGTAAGTAGATAAATAAGTCGAAGAGAATCTGACAACGCCATAACAAATAAACTGCTTCGCTGAGCGCAGCTGGATACGCCCGCGGAGGTCCAACCCTGAACAGTTGGGGCAAAAATGGACACAATATTCAAGCTTGATACAGGTCTGAATTTAGATTGTAATTAAATATTTGACATATTTTAAAAAGGTTTCTGAATAAATCTAGTCAAAGAACTTGAAATTGGTTATATGAATTGAATTTATATTCAATTAAAGATTTCTTGCTGTTGTGTAATACACTGTGCTGTTGCACAATACTTAGTAAATCTGTTTTCAGACTATAAACAAATAAAGTTCAATTAATTCTTAATGTCATATTAGAAATTTATGAAAATCAAATAGGGCTTACATCAATAGATATAAACAATTTACCAAAATTTCATGAGAATTGCTGAGAGCGTTTTTGAGTTATTGTCCGAAAACTGGAAAATCCCCCCTTTTTTAATGAATAAAACCCCAAAACTCAGAAATGTAAAATGTAAAATTTATAAAATTCTAAAGGGAGCTTACATCAATAGATATAAACAATTCACTAAAGTTTCATAAGAACTGCTGAAAGCATTTTTGAGTTTTTGTCCAAAAACTGGAAAATCCCCCTTTTTTTATGAATAAAACCCCATAACTCGGAAACGTAAAATCTAAAATTTATAAAAATTGAAAGGGAGCTCATGTCAATAGATATAAACAATTCACCACAATTTCTTGCAAGTTGGTGAAAGCATTCTTGAGTTATTGTCCGAAAACTGGAAAATCCCCCTTTTTTCTATGAATAAAACCCCATAACTCGGAAACGTTAAATCTAAAATTTATAAAAAACGAAAGAGAGCTCACGTCAATAGATATAAACAATTCACCAAAGTTTTATGCAAATTGGTTAAAGCGTTTTTGAGTTAATGTCCGACATGTTGACGACGGACAGACAGATGGACAGACGGACAACGGTATACCATAATACGTCCCGTAAACGGGCGTATAAAAACCACGAAAGGCAAGAAAGTCAACATAACATCACATAGAAAACTAAAGACTGAGCATCAGGAACCGGACCAAATACAGGGGGTGATCTCATGTGCTCCGGAAGGGTAAGTAGATCCTGCTCCACATACGACTGTGAGGCAGGCTATACAAGGCCGCGAAAAATCAAATTTGAACGAGTAACGAACAAATCTAAAATAATATCATTAAGCGGAAGACAAACATAACTGGAAAACAACTACCGGGCTGAAGGCTCGTTGACACGTGACAGGATTAAAAATGCTTAATCTAGAACATTGGTGGCAACAATCAATTGAAAAAGGCATACCTCATCAGATCGACACTCAATACAAAAAATAACAAAAGACGCGACGTATGGATCTAATGATACTCAAAGCAGCCGAAAGCCATACCATATTTATTTTTGCGTATTTTTTAATAACCTCTTTTGGGGTTTTCGTCTAGCTTCTTTTTGAAGTGCGTCAACAGATGTTAAGTGAAAAGACTTGCCCATTTTATTGTTAACAGTTTAAGAACCTTCAATTGTATTATGACAAGTAGATGTGTTGTTTATTTATACTGTATTGTTGAGTTTTTGTTTTAACAGAGCGTACCAATATTGAATTTCCATTCATATTATAAACTTACTCTTTTGACTAGTCCTTTTTAGGTACCAAGTGGTCCTTCCTTTGTAAAAGGCCCAGGAATAACGTGATGTTATATTACCATGCGGACCACAACATTCTAGCTGCAATAAAAATTCAACATTAAGCACATTTTGATTTATAAAATGAATATTAATAGTCATTTAGTTTATGAACGTTTATTTTTTTGCATATTTTTAGGTTCAATACATAAGACGGATTAGCTGTTCTACTTAAGTCCCTTTCTACGCATTCTTCCACACAATTTTTCAGATCCCTTTTATTTTGAAACATTTTGCAAGTAGCACATCAGATACAGAGTAATCAAAAAATTAGTTCGTAAGCATGGCACCGTGTAGAAAAAAAATTGGAATAAAATGTTTGCTATGTTAAGTGTCTGACTCTGTGTAGATTGGCTCGTTTAGTTATGTTTTTTTTCGTACGTTTTCCCTAACGCTCCCATCGTTCATTCTCATCTGTTTCGACAATGAACACAAACGTTTAATGGACAGAAATCCAGGAAATTAATTCGTGAGCAGAAATTCTTATAAAAAAATGAACCGTGAAACATAAAAATGAACGTCTAAGGACTTGTATCTGTGTCTTTTAAAAAAACGCATAAAAATTCATTATAATTGGATGAATAATATAACAGTAATGTTTCGTTTCATGAAATATCTTTGTTTTCAGTTAACTGCAATTTTAATAACATGTCTTGCCAGTAATAAATTCATACTTCCGATTTGTAAACACTCATTTACGATTGTACTTTGGACTGTATATATAGTCTAGCACTTTTTTACCTTCATCGGCAACCGTGTTTGCTAATTTTTTAAGTTAAATGATGTGACAATCAACATACCGTTCGTTGCATTGCATCCCATGCGTCTGTTAAAAGTCTATTTTCCGAATTCTTTATTATATCAACATTATAATTATATTCCAACGTGTCCTCAAATCTTCTCTTCATCCCTTCGGTTATCTAAAAAAGCAAAATATTGTGATAAGTATATTAATGTCTTAAAGTGGTATGGGAGCTTGTTTGTCAGAATGTTGTTTATATCGTGTATTTTTTAAAGTCGAATAAAAAGTATAAATCACCGTCCTTGTTTACAAGCTACATGTTATGAAAAAATTCTTACATTTTGTAATGATTGATTGCTGAAAAAAATCAACAACAAAATTCTGTAACTATATATAGAAAACTGAACAACAGAATTTTAAAATAAAATAAAAGAAGATAAGGTCTTCTTATAAAATTAAAAATAAAGAGAAAAGTGGATTCATCGTACTTGTTTTCTTGCCTCATAACAAAATAAACAAACATTTTTTAAAACTAAATCATCTCAGTTATCTCCCATTATAGATTATAAATTTTCAAATACAAATAATACAAATTTCGTGATTTATAAAACAATTTTCATCAAAAGATAAAACAATATCATTTTTCCCACTTGAATGAAAATCCACAGAAATAAATTGCATTTCTGCATCAAAAATTTGTTAACTTCAGTAAAAATTCTAAACCGATCGTGTGCCTTCATTTGTGATCCAAGATGGTGGAAGATTCCATTACTACCTTAACTATTCTTGGAATGTATTGTAAATAAATTACTCAAATATTATGCTTATCAACGATTGTTACCTTTAACCTTTTGTATATGTACTCATGGACTTGAGTGACCAACGTTAGGACAATCAGCTTTACAGAACATGCAGCCTTTCAACGAGTGACCGGAGCAGGGCTGGTGTTAGCGTTATAGTATTTTGCTGACGTTATTTGTAGGGGTACTTCTAAGACAACTAGGTCAGAGGGGAATCTGTAACCATATGTCCTTTCTTTCGAATGATTGAAATTATATGTATCAATATCATTGTCTATGAGCGTGTTTCGTGCGACTATTAACACTAACAGTTTTTGTATATACAACACAAATTACTTAAATACCGCACTTACTTTTGTTCTGAAAATAATACCAATTACACTGCCTCCGACTAGCACACCTAGCACCATAAATAAAACTGTTCCGTACTGCAAATAGATAGTGCATTGTCAACAAACAAATGAAATCTGCACAAAGGAAACTGACGATTACAACTATGCAAATTACATTACAATCCATTATCAGTAACTGACACTGTTGTCTGCTGGCAAAATTCAAAATAGTCCTAAATGTAACAACACCGAATACGAATATTCTTTTTGTGCCCAATGATATAGCAATGAAAAGATGTAGTACCAGGAGAATTCTGATCTCGACAACAACCCGTTTTGATACCTGTGGAACCGTATCTCTTTGGTACTGTGTTGATTTCTGCTTTGCGGTCCGCACTTAACCAAAAACAATGTCACAAGGACCATTGGAACAACAGGTCTCGCAGCTATCTGTCTTCAGTGCCATGCATAATTTTCTTCTTTTTCATGTTTATTTGTATATAACTATAGTGATTGATGTGTTATTGAACTTCTCGTGGTTTCTGAAAGTTACATTTTCTTTTATTTGTCGGGTTTTTAGTTTAATTTCAAATATATAATTGATGAATAAGTACTCACAAATCCGAGGACATATTTATCCTGTCTCATAGTACCACAACAACCGCAGAAGGCAAGAATAGCCACAGTGCCACCACCTGCCACTAACGCATACGTTACATACTCGAACAGACGAGAATCTACGATCGCAGCTATCTCCCGCGTGCTGTAATCTTTTACAAGCATCCATATTCCTAGTCCTAAAACACCTGCACCAAGTATCTGAAAGGATACAGATATACATAATTTCTACTAATGTTCTGGTAGGAGTGGGGTTTCTCAAACTATTTTTTGTAGACTTGGCACTAACTAGGATATTGCCTTTATGACATTGTAGCTTTTTGGGAGATAAGATTTGGCTTCCCCCCTTTTCCCCAATTTTAAATCTAAAATTATAGGAAGCTTGAGAAATCTTAATACACTTTATTTCATTGACGTATATACATAGCTGTATTTCTTTATATCTGCTATTCTACATGTATATTTACCTATGACTGATGCTACTGTGTTTACGACTACACTCTACCTTTTTTAATTTGATGACAACATTTTACTGATTTGTACGATCATTCCCTCCCCCTCCCTCCTGTGTATTCTTAATGGTATTGTAGATGGTAAGTTTAATAATATGGTTTCATATTTCATGACGTCTCTGTTTATCATTAGATTACTACGTATATGTATACGTTCATGCATTCATTTCATGATATCAATTCATTATTTCCTTTCCTCGTCGTTTTCGTTATGACTATGATTATTCGTTTGCGCAAGTTTTTGCACTGAACATATCGTATGCATTTTCAAGTTAGTTCTCATAGAAAATCAAACAGAATTATGATGACAATTAATGTATATTGTTTCTATTCTTTTTAGTTATGAAATAAGAGAAATACTCGAATTTTGTTCGATTGATCTTCTGCCATACTGTAGACTTAAACAATAAAATAAAAAATATATATTTGTCATTTCAAACAATTCTCTTGATTCAGATCATACATTGTTTTGAAACAATGTTCAAAAATAAATATTTGTTTTTACATTAACTGTGTAACATGTTTACTTCCAGACTGAGGATTTTCATTCTATTAACGTATTCAAATATATACAATTTTCTCTATTTCCTATCAAATACTGCAAGGATTGTATAACAATGTCTTAAGTGAATCAATCTGTTTGCGAGATGCTATTTGTTTCTCCTGCCAGGGATCCTGCTTATTGCATTAATTCATCAATTGAAATTCAATGATACAATGCCTTCCTGTCAGAAATACAGCCTTATAGACAATACTCCGAACACAGTCCACTTGATAAATCACATGATTTAATGTCTATGGGCAAACTTGATATTAGGGGATTCAACAAAATGTAATTTTAGGTGATGTGTGATTATTCATGGTAACGATATATCAACAAAAATGTGTTTTTGAAGACAAATTTCTAATGCTAGGGTAACGAAGGCATATGTTGACAACGCATAAATCAGTATTAGGAACTGATATCTCTTCTATGCAGATCATCAGTTAAGATGGCAATCGCCGCAATCTTTTTCTTCCTATTTTAGAAACTTCTCGCGTGTCACGGCTTAGTGATATAACTCATCTTACTAAGTAATTCTTGTATAGGATTTATATGCATACACATATGTCTCATTTTTCAAGAAGTTGCAAGAACAGGCTAAATTATAAAAGATACAGTTCAGGCAAAGTACACGTTATTGGGCGATATTTCTGATGGTGTTTACAAAATAGGAAAATATAACATATGCATTCAAAAATCGTTGAACTATATCTGAATATCGAAAAACAAATGATATATGTAGCCTTTATACTTCCAGAGGAGCAGGCAATTAGAATTTTTAAAATTTGGTGAAATAGGTCGATAAATGTATAAAATGTATGCAAATGTATGTAAAAAGCGGAGAAAAGTATGCATTTTTCATTTTAAATTGTGACTTCACGAAAATTGGTTCAGAGAATTTAATTCAAAAAGATATTTTATTGCTCTATCCATTTCCGTTTTAACGATACATTCATTTACATTCAAAACAAAAACAAATAGAAGATAGATAGATAGATAGATGGTTGAATCTAGGACAAAAGTTGTCAGCCTATATTCCCGACTCTGTGTTGCGGTTGCAATTATAAAACTTGAGCTTCGCAGTTACTAAATGTACCATAATTATTACTAGGTTAACAAATTTACGATCAACTTTCAATATTAGCGGAAAGTTCAAATGCACTTCTGATACAGCAATGAAATTCGCATAAGCTGATCTGAGAAGTTGCCAAGGGAAATGACATGTAAATTCGTTTCAAAAGAAGTTCCCGGGGACGTGACTAAACATAGCGATGAGAATCCATCGCTCAATAAACTCATTACAGCAAATTACACTTCATTGTATTTTACACAGAGACCAATTATTATTCCAAATACTTTATAATGAGAGTCTTTATATTTGGGGAAATATGTAGTTTCTATTATGCAAATAGATGCAAGTATTTAATGAGAACTGTTAGATAAATCGCTCGAAATGCGTCGTTCGTATATATCACATGCTGATAAACCATTGATTAACGCAAAATCTTTATCAATTAGGTCATACTTGAATGGAAAGTTTAATTGATATATGTTTTGTAATTGGTTTTGATAAGACTTAAGTGAAAATACAAGCCTACACAATTTGAACATGAAGACATGAAGTTGAAAAGTTGCTTGAAAAATATATGGTCTTTTTACGAAAAATGGTTTCTGTTATCAATTATGTGACCTTCAACAAAACTATAGAAAAGGGTATGTTGGGTGAAAAAATATATCACTACTATATTTTTCACTTATGATGTAGGTTCAACGTCTGTGATGTAAAAACACACGCGTATAAACACTTGGTAATCCATTTATCCGATTAACTATAAAAAAATCACCTAATCAAGAAAATGTTAGTTGATAATAATAAAGCAAGAATACACACACTGAAATGTCTCGCCTGCTTTACTGACCATGATTGATGTTATGTTGAGAGTCTTAAAGGTCAAGTTTTACTACAAGTATCACATAAACTTAACATTATCAAAATGTGACAATGAGTTCAAGGTCAGATAAAACAAGACAGACAGACATGAACACCTTACAATTATTCCATACACCAAATATAGTTGGCCTATTGCTGATAGTATACAAGAAACAGACCAAACCATGAAAACTTAACATTTACCAATGAAACACGAAAATGAGGTCAAAGTCAGATGATACATGCTAGACAGACATGCACATCTTAAAATTAGTCCATACACCAAATATAGTTCAGTGAATTATTGATTATAGTATCTAAGAAACAGACAAAAACACAAAAACTTAACATTGACCGGTGAACCATGAAAATGAGGTCAAGGTCAGATAAACCAAGCCAGACTGACATATTCACCTTACAATCATTCCATACACCAAATATAGTTGACCTATTGTTTATAGCATTTAAGAAACGGACCAAAAGACAAAAACTTAACATTGACCAAGAACCATAAAAATGAGGTCAAGGTAGGGAGAACCTTGTCAGACAGGCAAAATAATTCGCCTATTACTCATTGTACATAATCAAGATTTTCAAGATTTATTGATAACGCCTAGGCACATAAATGTGTTACATGAGGTCAAAGTATAATACTTAAACAATAAAATGATGAAATGGGCATGCAGTACTATTTAAACACATAGAAATCAATTTGGGTAAATTTTTTTAGAATAAACAAACAATTTTCTTAATAAAATTTTGGAAGTTGATTGTAGACTTTCATATTACATATTTAACATATGGACAATAATCCATCAATTTTAACGTATTGTGGATGAAGAGTGTAGTATATAGGTAATCAAAGACATTTGATGTTGATCAAAGAACCCTAAAATGAGACCAATGTCAAGTGACCCTTTTCAGACGCACATGTACATCTTACCCTAATTCTGTATGAAAATATGCTTGAGTTATTACTTATAATAGCTGCAAAGATCAACAAATCACGAAAAAAATATAGCAACTGAAACTTTAAAGTGAGACCACGCACAACAGAAATTAGCCAGTTCATGGAAAACTTCAGACCACAAGATTTCTGTAGATGATATAGGTATACTGTATTCTGCTCTTCTACATTCTCATAAGAAATAAATTTCAATACTAAATGAATATGTCTCGCCAATGACATAAAAAATAATTCATTATCTGCTTCTGTGTTTTCTGTAGTGTTGTTTTTTTCATAACAGTTATCATACAGAAGAATTGACTCGGGAATTGAACTCTTGTTTATACTTTAAACTTTTCCTAAGAAGACATAAAATTGATTCCTATTTCAAAAGTTAAATGGATCAAGACCACTGAAGTTCGTCACTGTCTGTAGTAAATACAATTACAATCAAACTGACTAAATCTCCGTGAAATAAAAAAAATCAACATCAACGTTAAATTACGTTAACTGTCGTTTGAATAACTATTCTTTAAAATATAGAAGATTACACATGTAACGAAGCTTCACGAAAAATTTAATTTAAGATATGAAGTAACTCCAGGAATGATAATCAACAAAAATCTAAATTCCTCATTCAGGACGGAACCAAACAAACCAATCAAAGTCGGACAAAAGAACCGCTTGATCTTTTTTACAACTTTCAGTTTATAAAAAGAAAGGGGACAGTCAACCTTAAAGGCATTGATGCATACCGATACAATGAGGCAAGTCAGGGGCGGGTCCAGGATTTTTGAAAGGGGGCGCAATTTCGGATAATTGAAAATACATTTTTGTATCGATTTAATACTAAACGTTTAAATACATCGTGAAAACATTGTGATTTTTTATTTGTATGCGATCAAAGTATCCCCCACCCTGAATCCGCCACTACAAGTGAATAGAAGCAAAAAGACTTACAAGAAGGAAAACATTATAACAATGTAAGAGTCCGACAAGTTGATTAACACAGCGATCAGAGTTGTTTCTTCTGTTTCTTTTTCTTGCTATGGCCCTGTGAGTAGAACTGTCCATATAAAGTCGTTGCTTTTTATGGTGGTTGATGCTATTATCCGCACTGTTTGATAAAGATTTCTTTAATGGCTGAAAATAGAAACGGATGTGTCTTAATACATGATTAAGCAATTACTCTATGATTTGGCCTCTTCACATATATGACCAATTAATGTTGATCACGTATAGGACATGTAGGATGGTGTGACCTATGTTCAGCCTCCTCGGATATGGCATACTTCAGGATTAAGTATACTAGTAACAGTGTAAACAGATTGTAATAGACAAAATATTTTATTTATAAAACGATTTTTGTATTATAAAACGACAAAACTCACACCGTCTGTAGAGGTCAAAAGTTCATATCTGCACACAGGTATTCGAAATATTTGTAAATGATTTTATAATGTGAAAGCCCCACCTTCAGTGCACACCTTTGCAATTTAAGATGACAATGAAATACAAATGATTTCCGCTATCACCATAATCATACCTGTGTGATGAAATGTCGCAGGTTCCCTTCATAATCTAAAATCAAGTTACTCAGGTCATTTGGAAAACACGATTTATTAAATAATACATAAACATTATTTGTATTAAACTGCCCGAATAAGGAAAAGTTTTTATGTATACAGAAAACTTCATGTTTTCACTCACTAAGAGGATTAAATGTCAATCACAAGGCCTGTCGATGTGTTACTATGATACCGAACATTTACCGGAAATACTTAGAAGGGATTTGGTACGAGGTTCAGTAGTCGTAGTCACCAGAATTAAATTTAATGGAAAAATCTTGTCACAATCAATATAAAGATATTTTTCTTAAGCAAACGAAATATGTTCGCATGACAATTGTAAAAATGTCTTTTCATGGAAAGACGTTTTCTACGGAAACTTTATTTAAGACCCAGTTAATCTTATTTCAAATCGGCCTGTATTGTGAAATGGAGCGACAGAATTTTAGCAGTGTAACAAATCCTGACATCATCTCAGGAAACGGATTTCAAATTCGTTTTAAGGATCTGCATAAAATGATTAAAATAATGTGTTTTAACTAGGTGTGGTAGTAAAGTCCGGATATATTTTCAGAACTCTATACGTTAGGTTCGTGACTATTTGTCTTCTAGTGTATCAATCCGCCCAGAGGTCAATGCTTTTCTAATGATTTATTTAATAAATACATTACCTGTTGATACATTTTTTTTTATTATTTTTAAAGAATGAAGATTGTTCTCCCTTAGGCAAAGCTGAGTTGAGACCATCTTGGCTCTTTATATCCTTACTGTGTCGACATCACTGTCGATGGGTTGTAAGCGGCAGATGGTATCATTCCAACTTATAAGTGAATCGACACTTTCTATTCGACAATTTATTTCAGAATTATATAAAACTTGTGCAAAGCTTATTTTCTATGTCCTCAAAGAAAAAATAAATTGCGACGGTTATGGCTATTCTTTCGATGTTATTTTGAATAGATTCTCCACATGTATTCATACATCCGATGTTAACTTTCCGACGTTTGAAACTGTATCGGTGGTCTCCTGATAGCATTTAAGTGCAGGCGTTCGTAGGTAAGTTCCAACGCTTGCTTAAAACACAGATTGTAAAATGTGTACTTGTTGCTTCTCCGATACGCATGTGGCATTTAGACTTTAGAGCAAAGACTGGTCGGTTCGGAGTCATATGAATGTGTCTAAGTAGGAAGATACATTTATGTGTCTTTCTGTTACCTTGTGAGCTAGTGTGTTACCGACTAAAATTGTCGTTCTAGTACAGAGAAGTTTATGCTCATCCTGAATATGCATGTAACATTTGCCACAGGACGTAATCAATCAATCAATTCATATTTCAACTGTGAATGTTCGTGGTTTATCTACTAAAGCGCTTTAAAAACACAAAAAAATAATTATAAATACGTTTTACTTATATTTTTGGTTTTTGTTATGTCTTCTTATTTCTGTATTCAGTTTAATGATTGGTAGTGTCATGGAAGTATTACATTTTACTTACATGGTCGGGTGTTTCATTTTGTCCTATTTAATCGAAAGGATGTTTTAAACTTTTGTGCTATTGAATTTTTGCGTGACACTTTTTATACTTTTCTGTTATAAAAAAAATAAACAAGTGCTCTGTAATTAGAATGAAAACAGTTTGCATAACAAGTATATTACAAAATAGATGGATGTTTTTATATTAACTGAAGCAGTAAAAACAGCAACCTAGACAGTGGTTAGAACGAAATCGTTAAACGAGCACTTACAGTTTGCTGGGTAATAGCTCAGAACGGAAGTAGTGAAGAGGTTTATACATTAGTAAACACACTAAAATACATAAAGCCATCTGTTAACCCTTGTCAATTGTGTCTCAATTTGTCAATATGATGACTTTAGCTAATAAAAAAAAAGTGATTTCAAAAATAGATAATTAAGAGACTATTTATTAAATGTCTCAACAATCGCATTTCGTTAAATTACCATCTTATTATTGTTTTTACATTCAACTATTTTCATTGATTTTCTGCTGAAAGTGTTAAACATTTTTACTATTGCAATTAAAATTAATAAAACATATGTATATGAAATTTTCGATACACAGAATTTTCAATCTAAATCTTGTTAAACAAGTTTGATAGACTACAGTCGATCAATCAGATTGGTGTAGAATTTATCACGTTATCACCAATCCCATCCATCAATACAATAAAACCACAATATTTGCCATCTGAGTATCCAGGGATATCAAATTATATGTGTCGCTTTGTACAACTTCCGATGAAAATATTCGGAATCTCCACATATCCAACTATCGCGGTCATCACGTGACTTTTACAATTCAGTTGTATATCATTAATGGCCGACTGATTATCAATGAAAATGAACGGGCTACATAGATTAAACGATCATAACTTTTTTGTTACATTGTGTATTTTACCTTCCAACCCCGCGTTTTATAGTATTTCCATTTTTACAATTAAAAATGTTTTAAGTTTCAGTTCAGAAATATGATTTCTTGCTTCAAATTAAGTTTGAAAATGGAGGTGACATAACCACACAGCCTCCGTTGACTTCTTCGTTAAAACTCAATAAAGTTGCAATGGGACCTTCTTATATGATCAATTTTCTCAACTTATTATTTGTTAATAATATCCTTCCAACCCCTAAAAATATCGACAACACATTCATTTAAATGAAATCGAAACCCAATTCAGTTCAGGTAACAAACTTTTTGCTTCAAAATTTGATTGAAAAGTTTACATTTTGGCATTCGTTAACAATATTTTGAAAATGGCGGCCGATGTCGGTAGTAAACAAAGACACGACATGTATTCATTTAGCAATTAATTAAAAAGTAATTTGTGAAATATTTATTAAAGTGTGTCTGATTGTTTTTAGAAATTTCTTATTTCACCTTTAATTTAATATATTTATTAGAAACAGTCTCTCGCACTCAAAACACAGATTTATATGCATCAACCATGCATTGTTTACATTGACCATGTTGACAGCGTAGGTCGACTTGTGAAAATATATATTGTAATATTTTTACGATGAAAATCAAAAAACTGTTGGATGCATGCGTTTTCAGTTTTTGTCTTACCTTAAAGCAGCATAGAATCAAATATTTTGTCTTTTTGATAAAGTGGATACATGCTTTTTGTTTTGAAAAAATTTGGAAGTTACGTAAAAAAAATGGCGACCAAACAATTTTCAAACGTAGACGATGTTCGACACTAATTTTGCCCATGCAAATAACACAATTTAATTTCACTGTTTATATTGCAATTAAATATGACACGTTATTGTCACTCTAATAATACCCAAGGACATAGCCTGATTAAGGAGATATTAAGTCATCAACGTGATCAAAGAAAACAAACACGGCACCTTATCACGATGTAAATCATGTAAGTTTTGACAAGACTTATGTAGATTAGTATGGTCCGATTCTTATAGAAATTACTTTATGGTATTATTTTATATTAATAAAAAAAAAAACAACCTCGAAACCCCGAGGTGAAATATCTATATTTTTCAATTTTCTAAATCATTCATCACAGGGGTTACCAGTAAATTTTTCATAATCCTAATTAAACCAGTAACATGCAGAGTTATCGAACGTAATTATGACTGGTATAGTTGCATATGATCTCTTAAATGCTTAAGAACAAAACGAAAAAATGCCCAAAAAAATTTTTTGATAAAAATTTGCATAATATTCCTTGAACAACTGTTCACATTATTTTAACACATAATTTCGATGTTTCTCTTTCGAATAACAAAGTCATACCATGGAAGTATTATATAATACTTTCATGTTCATACTAATTCCCTATGAGCCCACCTCGTGCACCTCCTGGTACGATTAACCATATTTTGGAACAAATTTTATCCAGGATTAACTATACTTTCAAACATGAATTATCATCCATGATAAAGTATGAATAAGAAGATAAGCAATCAGTTATAGTTATAGTCATGTTTTAGTTATAACCACTTAATAAAATTGAGAATGGAAATGGGGAATGTGTCAAAGAGACAACAACCCGACCACAGAACAGACAACAGCAGAAGGCCACCAACAGGTCTTCAATGCAGCGAGAAATTCCCGCACCCGGAGGCGTCCTTCAGCTGGCCCCTAAACAAATATATATACTAGTTCAGTGATAATGAACGCCATACTAAACTCCAAATTGTACACAAGAAACTAAAATTAAAAATAATACAAGACTAACAAAGGCTAGAGGCTCCTGACTTGGGACAGGCGCAAAAATGCGGCGGGGTTAAACATGTTTATGAGATCTCAACCCTCCCCCTATACCTCTAGCCAATGTAGAAAAGTAAACGCATAACAATACGCACATTAAAATTCAGTTCAAGAGAAGTCCGAGTCTGATGTCAGAAGATGTAACCAAAGAAAATAAACAAAATGACATTAATACATAAATAACAACAGACTACTAGCAGTTAACTGACATGCCAGCTCCAGACTTCAATTAAACTGATTGAAAGATTATGTCTTCATCATATGAATATCAGGCACAATCCTTCCCGTTAGGGGTTTAGTATCATACCATCATAACATATATGAGAAGAACATAACCCGTGTCATGCCAACAACTGGTTTTTAAATAAATGTGTTTAGTGCCGATGCAAAGACCTTATAAGTGAATCAATATTAACGCCAAAATATGCAATCTTTAATGACCTGACAACAGTATCGTAACTATATCCCTTCTTAATAAGTCTATTTAAAGGTTTTGTTAGTTTCAGAGGTGAATACTGACATTTTTGTGCTTTATAAAGAATATTTCCATAAAAAATTGGATGTGAAATACCTGAACGTATAAGAAGTCTGCATGTTGAGCTATATTTACGAATGATGTCCTTATACCGATGATAAAATTTAGTAAATGTTTTGACTAGTTTGTGATATCGAAAACCCTGGTGTAATAATTTTTCAGTAATACATAAATTTCTCTCGTTAAAATCTAAAACATTGTTACATACACGAGCGAATCGTACAAGTTGAGATATATAAACACCGTAAGATGGTGACAAGGGAACGTCACCATCTAAAAATGGATAATTAACGATAGGAAATGAAAAATCATCTCTTTTATCATATATTTTAGTATTAAGCTTTCCGTTAATGATATGGATATCAAGATCGAGGAAAGGGCAGTGGTCATTGTTAGTATTAGCTTAATTTAAAGTAAGTTCAACAGGATAAATTTCTTTAGTATACATACTGAAGTCGTCATTATTGAGAGCCAAAATATCATCCAAATATCTAAAAGTATTATTAAATTTGTGTATCAGATGTTGTTTCGATGGGTCTTTACTGATTTTTGTCATAAATTGTAACTCATAGCAATACAAAAAAAGGTCCGCAATAAGTGGTGCACAGTTAGTCCCCATTGGAATTCCGATAACCTGACGATATACGGAATCTCCAAAGCGAACAAAAATGTTATCTAGTAAAAATTCAAGGGCATATATAGTATCAAAGCATGTCCAATTGACATAGTTTTTTTGTTTATTGCTACTAAAAAATGACCTAAAAGAGTTTGAACATATATATTCACATTCTGACTTTTTAAATGCCCATTTAATTAGATGTGTGAATTTTTTCTTAATGAGAATGTGAGGCAATGTGGTATATAGGGTAGAAAAATCAAAACTTTGAACAGATTCAAAATCACCAATATATGCATGCAATTTATCAAGTACTTCCAACGAGTTCTTGACACTCCAAAAGTAATTAATTCCACTATTTTCGAAGGCCTTATTTGAACAATTTATTATCAGGTTTTTGATTGTACCAAGTGTACTGGTAAGAAGAATAGACAATTTAGTAGTGGAACAATGGCTTGAAGACGAAATGAATCTATATTTGTAAGGTGTTTTGTGTAGCTTCGGAAGCCAATACATAGTTGGGACTTTCATTGTATTTGGGTTAGTCATGTCAGCTGACTAACCATATTAACTGTTCAATTATCTTCCGAATGCGTTTATTACATAATTACTTATTTTTACAATGCATATTGTGGCATAAATGTTTCCGCAAACGCAGAGAAATTCATTACATCACAATAAAGACGAAACAAGTGCCATAACAATATATAATGTATATTTGTACTATAAAGGTTTGAAGTTATTTCGAGATGGAAATCGTCTACTCATTGTATTTTACTATTGTAACAATTTCAGGAAGCTATAAAAATCTACACAGTTTTTTTCGATGGAAATGATTTAGTCGTAATCAAATTATAGAGAGAACATTTAAATTTAGCTTTTCAGTAACACTTAACTCGTCTTTTATTGTGGAAGTCGATTCGATAAATTGTTAATAACGCATCTATTTAGTTGACAAGCTACTCGTAACAGCTGACATGACTAACCCAAATACAAAGAGTTGGTCATCAACGATCTTTCGCCAGTTTCATTTTAGTTAATGAAGTTCCATTTAGGTCCGTTATGTTCATTTCTTCAGTAAGCTATGTTTGAGCAATCTTCTCTGAACCTTGTTCGCTTAAGCAGTCACAACGTGTAATTGTATAGCGGATCGCTGCTTATCAAGTGTATGGAAACGAAAATTTGATTGATTATTTGGCAAAATTTCATTTGCAAATGTCAACCAAGGTTTTGGCCTCGTGAAAGCTTTGGCTAAATGTAAATACATAGATTGAGACAACGACGTTTCTTGTCAAATTAAATATAATTCTCACGTTCTGTTGCAATGCAATCGAACAAGCTGAAAATTAAATTCAATGTCTTCATGATAAAAATAAATAAAACTGATAGACGAAGAACAATATTTTTGATTATTTGATGTGAAAAATGTCAAAATTTAATTTGTTCAAAGTCGTTATCTCTGAAAGGCGTAACTATACAACAAATCACTTTTAGAATTATTGCATTCTTAACCAATTTTGAGAATTATCATCTGTATAATATGATCACAGATTTTATAATCACTCTGTATTTAATAAGTTTGTTCATTTATAGGTCTATTATCAGATAGGACTATAATGACACGTTTGTCCAGGGTAAATTATTATTGATTTTATCATGTATTTATTTCCAGTTTAATACGGAATACGTTTAATGAAATGAAGAACAAAGCAGAAATTTAAATAAATGAATATGATGAAATAGTTCTGTCTTTATACAACAGAATAGCTAAAGGTTCGTTTTCATTAATCTCAAATTACCAGAAATTTAACATGCTTCCGAGTTAACTGCTCGTATAATAATACAATATCCAGTGGAGAGGATTTAGGTGTTATTCATCACTTCCTAGTTGTCGTATTATCGCATGTTTTTATAAAATCAACCTGTTTTGGCAGAGCGTCGTTGCATTTTCGCCATTTGCATTTGGACAGATGCAACAATAAAAATCCAACGTTTGAATGTCATTCCTTCCTTGCATATAAGAATGTTTGCGTTCCGAGCTGACAAAATATGACGTCATAGATATAAAATTTCTCACATTACAAATTCATTATTCAATTTTCATAATGAAACAGTCCTCTATACAAACCAGATATTATCACTTTGCCTGGAACTGTTTGTATAAGTTTACCGCCTGTAGCGCTCTGAACTATATGTACATTTCATTATGTTTATGTAAACATCATAGACCATCAAACAGGTGAAATACAGTTTCTTCAAATGACTTGAGAATAAATTATAAGTTTTTAATAAATTTCCTGAAAAAGTCAAAGATTAATGAAAACTTCCTTACGCAGGGAAAACCACATACTTCTACGCCTTAAATATTAAAAGAAAAGACTACTATTGACATGTTCAAAATGTGCAATTTACATATGTAAAGAATGAAGGAAAAGAAAACTCACCACACTATGTAGAGCAATCCCATGTTTTCGAACATCATATTTCCGTTTCATTTTTACAATTATTTCACAAAGAACACATTAATTTCAAAATAAATGCTCCCATTTGATGGTAAACAATCTCAATGAATTTCCCCTCCAAATACTTATATTGCCTGGGGGATTTACATGGTTTAGATAGTACTGACCACTTCTGACTGACCAGGTTATAATAAGTTATATAATCACTTTATCCAAACAGATTAAATACTTTTTGTTATTCTTTCCGATCATTTAACACTATCATACATAATTTTGTGTCAATCGGACAAATTGTCCAAGCCTTCAGTTTATAATTGAATGACATTTGAAATATTCACATGTGGCGGATGTTAAAATGATGACGCTCAAACTGTATGAACCTGTTGCTGTAGGATGTTACATCACCCATCTCAAGTTGTTTTAAAATTTGGGATTTTGACTTGTACTCCTTTCAGATTAACATTTTCTCTTTATTTTTGTTTAATCTCTTCTGATGTTGAAAATGACAATACACAAAACAATGTATTCCCAGAGAAAATATCCCCAAGCAAACATGAAGATGTCAATTTTGCGGTTTTAAAGGCGAGAAAAGGTGATTAAATTTTCATTAAAAGTAATCACAATAATTAGTAGATACGCCCTCGTAGTTTGGACGAAGAAAAAAGCGAATACACAACAAAGGAGGACTTATGTAATTTCACAATCCGAGGTCGTTCCCTTTCCTAATTTTAAAAGTAAACAGTGTAGTGGGAGAAAGTGGTTATTTACACGTCTACACGTAAAGATGGAACAGATAAGGATTTAACATGCGTTTAATTCAATTACTTTCTGATTTTCTTGAGCCACGTTGCTAAATTTGCCATACAATCTCGAAACATTGTAGTTACTGAGAGAGTGATGTAAATTGTTGATTTTAGTAGAAAAGTACTTACTTCCGTTAGTTCTGTAGGATCCATGTGTTTTTGATGATGGTATTTGATCTCTTTAAGAACCCTTCACCACAAGTACTTGTTCAAACTTAAAGAAAATGTTATAATCCATTTTAAAAATCCATTTATTTGAACAAAAATACACAGTTATAATTTTTACGTATCAAGACTTTGATAAATAAAGAAAGTTCGCATACAGTTGATGATAAGAAAGTTCCCAGACACATGCAGAGCATGAAATCAAGATCAGCACGAATGTATCAAATTTCTTCTCTTAGTTGTAAACAAACGCATGTGACAAACATACTCCACTCAGATTTTGGCGGGCTAGCTTTCTCTTGGTAACATTAAGATTAAAATGTAAATTTAGGTTTTTAAAAATATCGACAAAATTTTCAATTCAGCCCGATGGTAAAGCTTTTTGTTCGTGTTCATTGAACTTTAATTCCATTCATTCACAAATTGACTCCATGTTTAAAATAGGAAGACTATAATTTTTGGAGAATAATTCAGTTTTACACACGATTTGCCAAACAAGAGAGATATCCATAATAATTTACGTTATTATGTTCAATTTATGTGATATAGATTATGCGTAAATTATACAGTTATTTACGATTTTTCTACAGCTATTCATAAACATCCATAGGGCAACTAACATGTCATCTGTGATAGTGGTAATAAAATCATTTTAGTTGGCACGGACAGAAAATCTTTTATTAAAAAAGAATAAAGACAAATTATTTAAATCAAAACTTCTAGGCACTGAGTTGAATCACAGAACTAATTTTTATTTTTCCTCTAGATATTAAGCAAACGGCAATCAATATATTTTCTTAATTTGAAAATAAATGCTATTGATATGAAAGGGGTCAGTGTTTAAACACTATCTCCTCACCCTACGCATTACTCTTGTCATACCCTTTGCAGAATCGCTACCTCCTTCTCAATGACATTTATCTTTTTCTAACCCAATGGACAAAAGTACGTATAAGAAGAAATATAAAAAATTACATACAAGCAAACAGGTTGAGGTGGCAATAGTCCTGATATAGTTCAGATACAAATTACCTTTTCAAATATTTTCCAAATAACTCTTAAGAAATTATCATCATAATGAAATTGTAGTCTGTTCAACGAATACTACTTTTAATGACGTACACACAGATATTTTGCCAACCACTTGCCTTTCCAATAAATGAAAGTATATATGGGGTATATTATATCAATGCGACAACCATCCGACAACAATAAAAACAGAACAAGACATCAAGATGTCAACAAACGGCGTTCAACAAAAAGGCAACTGTCAACTTATTCAATAATAGACAAGTGTACACACATATATACTGATATCCCGGGGAGTTAGACTAAAGCTAATGCCATTATCATCTTACTATACAAGCTGTTGACATTGTAATGGGTTCCGATTTTCTTTTCGTTCGAAATAGGCCGTGTATCATTGCCAATTACTGACTATGATAAAGGTCATAGCACAGTGATTCTGTCATGTTGTTAGTCGGGACTTAACACAAACTGTATGTATAATAGAAAAGAAGGAATATGGTGTATAAAACCCAAAGCAAATTAAGCAGTGCTTCTAATGCTGTTCTTCATCTTAAGGGAAGTGGTGCCTTCAACACGGAGCACAACGCTCGAACCTCAATGCAAGTCTAAGACGGCTCCCAGCAACGGACTGAATCAGATTCTTTTCTAGGTGCCGATGTAACAATATATATGACAATCAAATAAGAGCAATTTCCCCCTATACGCAAAAGTTCAGAAAAGTATTATATTTATGGATATTTTCTAATTCGTTGGGACATGTATATATCGTGTATATGTAACAGGCTGATTCGGGATTCTGAAGGGGCGAGGAAGGACACTTAAAAGGGCAAAAGTGACTGTTGGAAGTAAATATCAAAAATGATAAAATGTCTTTGCTTTAACGATATTCGCTATATCGTAAGGGACTGAAGACCCGAACCTACTGTATTTCCTCGCTCACTCGCCCTTTCATAGCTTGCTGCGCGGTATGGGTTTTGCTTATTGTTGAAGGCTATACAGTTGCCATTTGTACTTATATTACCTTTTATGCATAGAATATCTAACAAATAGATTTTATTTACATTCATATTGAATTTGAAGCGTTATATCCAAACTGCTCATGTAACCAACAGAAACAAAAGAATGCAATTTGTTTGTTCAAGTCAATTGCATCAAAGCTATTTAAAAACTGGTTGTTGAAAAAGGGAACTACTCAGGCTGAACTCTGGCAAATCTTTGTTCGTCAGCCCTATAATCCTCTATGCATCAAAGTATTTCACCCGAGCAATTTCAATTCTGCAGGTAAAATATATTTTAAACAGCTGATGATAGTGTAGATTGGACGGATCATTTCCAAGAAAACATGGCTTAGGTAAAGGCGTTTTTGCAATACATTACATGTATGAACGACAGAACTACATTGCGTAATTATAGAAAAATATCAAACAAGTTGACATTTATTGTAAAACAAATTGTCGTTTTTACATTAAAAGGCATAAAAAGATATAGGATTCTAATCTTTAATTGAAATATCTAGATGTATTTCCCAAATCCTGAGATAGTATATCAGTTTGTTTGTGATCATCTAAATATAGTTCTCAATAATTATTTACGCAACATATTTAACCCCGCCACATTCTGTAGGTGCCTGTGCCAAGTCAGGAGCCTGTCGTTTACTGCTGTATCTCATATTAGTTTTTCGTTTATTGTTTTGTGTATAGATTAGGCCGTTGGTTTTCTCATTTGTTTTACCTTTGTTTTTCGGGACCTTTTATAGCTTGCTGTGTGGCATTGGTTTGCTCATTGTTGAAGGTCGTACGGTGACCCATGGATGCAAACTTCGACGTGATTTGGTCTCAGGTGGAGTGTTAACTCGTTGGCAATCATACCACATCCTAAAATTCTTATTTTGTATCGTTTTTTCGTCTACATCAACACCATATTCATTAAATTAAATTCGAGAACTCAAGTTTGTTTCGGTTATCGGAGTTAAACAAACACATCGTGAACTATATTTATAGACCACTTAATTTCAAAGCTTATACAAAAAATGATTAAAAATATGTGTGCATTGAGGTTGTTGCTAAATTAGTCCCAAACGAGTTTGAGAACAAAGCCTATTGGAATGTTTTCACAGAAATGTCATTATTCATTTCTAAAGTCAATAAAACTCGAATAACAATTTGTCAAATTTTCTGTTTTCAGTTTGATCTGCAAGGCCAATTTACGATCATAGTTAAAAATCTAAACCATTAACACTGTAAACTAAAAACACTTAAACATTGAATAGGATAACCATTAAAATACGAAAATCAATCCTCACTGAATGACATGAGTTATGAGAGAGCCAAGTATGGTGTGAAGATCAACATTGACATAGTAGCTCATCTGTCCTAGGCTTTTGTACTCTTTCATTACATCATGTCCCATCAACAATTGTAATCTATTCTTCTCCGTATTCAGTCAACAATACCGCCTTGGTTAAATTGATTTCCTTAATTGTGGTAACGGCAAGTTTATTTGTTTTCTAAGAAATTTATGAAACATGGAGTAAAAATTTAAACAGTTTTATTAATTTACAACTTTCTCTGGTAAATGAATTACTTAAAAGTGACATCCCAACCGTTAAAACACGCCATAATTTCTGAAAAAGACAAATTACCGACAAATAAGGACATTCTTACAATTATCTAGCATATAATGACTAAACAAAGGCGAGGATAAATATCGTGCATCAAGGAAGAATTACATACCGAAAAGAAAGTAAAATTATGGTTGTTTCAGTAGTGAAAGTTAATTATTTTAAAATTATTTGTCCGAGTCACACTATTCTTTTATTGATATGGACAATGAACGAGGAAAGGCTCACATAACTGGGACTACTTGAAACTCCAATGCAAGTACACGTGGTTTAACACTTGTAAATACAATTTACCGATATATGAATACTTTTTTTTTTAAAAATAGATAAATATTTTTGAATGAATGAGGATACCAGCCCAAGCGTCATGTCTCATCCGGTATAAAGGGATACATATGCGCAATCTTGACCATAAGCTGCATCACAAGAACAAAATTAGTAGTTTTAAGAGATTTGTGGAGTTTTTTAATACATTTATCGTCAGAATGACCTTTTTGTTTATTTAGAAGAGTTTTAGAAAAAAATATGAAGATGTCTCCTGTAAGCTTAATATATATAAATAATATACATTGTATATAACTTGTTGCATGTTTTATTGGCAACCGGTACCAATTCATCTTATTATATAGAAATTGAATTTCTTTTATTTATATCACGTATAGAAATATAAGATTTGTTTTTAATTTCCTCATAAACAGAAAAGAACTAAATCGTATGTAATTGTTGCTCAAATAAAGAACTCAATGTGAAGTGTGAAT